CTGTGGATGTAAGTCTTGATAACAGCTACTGTGGATGTAAGTCTTGATAACAACTACTGTGGATGTAAGTCTTGACAACTGCTACTGTGGATGTAAGTCTTGATAACAGCTACTGTGGATGTAAGTCTTGATAACAACTACTGTGGATGTAAGTCTTGACAACTGCTACTGTGGATGTAAGTCTTGATAACAGCTACTGTGGATGTAAGTCTTGATAACAGCTACTTTGGATGTAAGTCTTGATAACAGCTACTGTGGATGTAAGTCTTGATAACAACTACTGTGGATGTAAGTCTTGATAACAACTACTGTGGATGTAAGTCTTGATAACAACTACTGTGGATGTAAGTCTTGATAACAACTACTTTGGATGTAAGCCTTGATAACAACTACTGTGGATGTAAGTGTAAGTCTTGACAACATCTACTTTGGGTGTAAGTCTTGATAACAGCTACTGTGGATGTAAGTCTTGACAACTGCTACTGTGGATTGTAAGTCTTGACAACAGCTTCTGTGGATGTAAGTCTTGACACTGTTCACGTGCTGGTCCATACCCAAGCCATTCCTTTATCAAAACCAACATATCAACACTGACCGAGACACCATTTCATTAATATCATTTTTGAGTGTATTGTATTGATTTCTAGGATGACACCGTGGAGACCAAACTGGCGGCGAATCCAGACGGCGACCTGCAAGACTTGGGCCCTGAGGTCTCCCAGCATGCACCACCTGGTACAGCCGACGGTAGCCATTACGAGAAGATAAACCTAGTGGGCGTGCACGGAGCGGGACGCAAACACATCTCATTGGCGGTCAACCAGTCCGCCATAGAGGCAAGCGCCCGCAACAAACTGCCCATCACAGAGGTTGGTTGAGGGTTAATGTCATGTATTCAACCAACTGCCCATCACAGAGGTTGGTTGAGGGTTAATGTCATGTATTCAACCAACTGCCCATCACAGAGGTTGGTTGAGGGTTAATGTCATGTATTCAACCAACTGCCCATCACAGAGGTTGGTTGAGGGTTAATGTCATGTATTCAACTAACTGCCCATCACAGAGGTTGGTTGAGGGTTAATGTCATGTATTCAACCAACTGCCCATCACAGAGGTTGGTTGAGGGTTAATGTCATGTATTCAACCAACTGCCCATCACAGAGGTTGGTTGAGGGTTAATGTCATGTATTCAACCAACTGCCCCACACAGACATTATTTGTTCCAATTCATATGCCTTAAAAATATTATTTTTATCGTTAAGTATCATCCGAAGATTTTACTTTTTATTTATTGGGGTGGGGGGGGGGTGGGGGGTGGTAATTATGGGTGACTGCGGTATACCAACTTGTTCATGTCTATCACACACTAGTTGACAAGGTGATCACTTTTCCTAACGATTTTATTTCATATAAATTACACAGCAACTTTGATTGAAAGAGAGATAGATTCAATAATTAATAATGCATTTATTATTTGGTTTATGATAATTGTATCCTGGATTGTTTCCTTATTGTTTTTAAATATCTTGTATTAAAAAAAAATTGTTCAACTGTTCATACTACTCAGCACACCTGAAACCGGTTTTCGTTTCACATCCTTAGTCTGAATGTCTGCGGGCCTTTGGCCTGAATGTCAGGGGGCATTTTTCTGAATGCCTTTGGTCTGAATGTCAGGGGGCATTTTTCTGAATGCCTTTGGTCTGAATGTCAGGGGGCATTTTTCTGAATGCCTTTGGTCTGAAAGTCAAGGGGCATTTTTCTGAATGCCTTTGGTCTGAATGTCAGGGGGCATTTTTCTGAATGCCTTTGGTCTGAATGTCAGGGGCATTTTTCTGAATGCCTTTGGTCTGAATGTCAGGGGGCATTTTTCTGAATGCCTTTGGTCTGAATGTCTGCGGGCCTTTGGCCTGAATGTCAGGGGGCATTTTTCTGAATGCCTTTGGTCTGAATGTCAGGGGGCATTTTTCTGAATGCCTTTGGTCTGAATGTCAGGGGGCATTTTTCTGAATGCCTTTGGTCTGAATGTCAGGGGGCATTTTTCTGAATGCCTTTGGTCTGAATGTCAGGGGGCATTTTTCTGAATGCCTTTGGTCTGAATGTCAGGGGGCATTTTTCTGAATGCCTTTGGTCTGAATGTCAGGGGGCATTTTTCTGAATGCCTTTGGTCTGAATGTCAGGGGGCATTTTTCTGAATGCCTTTGGTCTGAATGTCAGGGGGCATTTTTCTGAATGCCTTTGGTCTGAATGTCAGGGGGCATTTTTCTGAATGCCTTTGGTCTGAATGTCAGGGGGCATTTTTCTGAATGCCTTTGGTCTGAATGTCAGGGGGCATTTTTCTGAATGCCTTTGGTCTGAATGTCAGGGGGCATTTTTCTGAATGCCTTTGGTCTGAATGTCAGGGGGCATTTTTCTGAATGCCTTTGGTCTGAATGTCAGGGGGCATTTTTCTGAATGCCTTTGGTCTGAATGTCAGGGGGCATTTTTCTGAATGCCTTTGGTCTGAATGTCAGGGGGCATTTTTCTGAATGCCTTTGGTCTGAATGTCAGGGGGCATTTTTCTGAATGCCTTTGGTCTGAATGTCTGCGGGCCTTTGGCCTGAATGTCAGGGGGCCATTGTTCTAAATTTCTGCGGGCCTATGGTCTGAACGTCTGGAGGCCTTTGGCCTGAATGTCAAGGGGGCATTTTTCTGAATGTGCTGGGGACTTTGTTCTGAATTTCTGGGGGCCGTTGGTCTGAATGTCTTGAGGCCGTTGGTCTGAATGTCTTGAGGCCGTTGGTCTGAATGTCCTGTGGCTTTTAGTCAGGGGATTGTCTTCAGGGTATCATTTCAGGGTCTTTTGTCTGAATGACTGGGGGTCTTTGGTTTGAACGTGTGGGGGCCTTTGGTTTGAACGTGTGGGGGCCTTTTGTCTGAATGGTGGGGGGGGGGGGCCTTGGTGCCCACCTAAAAAATTGCCTATAAAAATAGATATTGAACTTTTGTTGTATTATGTTATATTTATATATAATAGTAAAATATGTGCGAGTCAAGTCGATGAATGAAAAAAGGGGTTGGGTGGGGGGGGGCCTCATTGGGCGACATTATACATTACAACAACATAATTTTACAACGGCCACAAGTTCAAACTATGTCATTTCCAGACGTTGTTGTACGCAGTGGCTTTGGGAAGAAAAAAAAAGGGGGGGGGGGGTTCAAAGGTGGCGGACCCCCAGTTTGGCACTTCTTTTATGTTGAGGTGCGGCATTTTAAGCCAACTGCAGTTGTTTTTTCTGTGCGTGGTGGGAGCAGAGCGTCAAAAAGCTTGGCTCCGCCCCGGCTGGCAATACGTTCACTAACCCTAGCTACGCCCCTGGGTGTACGTGTTTCCTTGGGATGGATTGGGTTAACAATAAACCTCTAGAGAACTCTATTGGACGCCCAGGACTTGGGATGGATTGGGTTAACAATAAACCTCTAGAGAACTCTATTGGACGCCAGGACTGAAATCAGGTCGAACGGGTTACTTGATATGCATTCAGGGGCGATCAAACGGTATCCAAGGGAGTAAAATAATGAATAAAAAGCAGGGTATTGAATTGCCCCCCTTTATGTTCGGTTACTCTAAATTCTACGCTATTACCAGGACGCCCGTTTAAAACACATTGACATGCAGAGAATGGTCGAAAAAGATTGCGTTTTTTTTTTAATTACATATATGTTGCTTTATTTCAATTCAATAAAATTGTCTGTGTCTTGATGGTGGGCCAGGGGATTGTATCTATCTTGATGTTGGGCCAGAGGATTGTATGTATCGTGATGGTGGGCCAGGGGATTGTATCTATCTTGATGTTGGGCCAGGGGATTGTATCTATCTTGATGTTGGGCCAGAGGATTGTATGTATCGTGATGGTGGGCCAGGGGATTGTATCTATCTTGATGTTGGGCCAGGGGATTGTATCTATCTTGATGTTAGGCCAGGGGATTGTATCTATCTTGATGTTAGGCCAGGGGATTGTATGTTTCGTGATGGTGGGCCAGGGCATTGTATATATCTCGATGGTGGGCCATCTGACTGCCTGGTGTCTTGATGGTTGGCCAGGGGATTGTATGTATCTTGATGGTGGGCCAGGGGATGGCATGAATCTTGATGGTGGGCTAGGGGCCATATTATTTGGTTTACTCTTCATGTACAAACGCTTTTGGATAGACAAACAAATCTCTGAAAGTTATAACTTATTGTATGATTTTCCTAAAATATGTGTCTATCTCATAATTATATATTTTTGTCATTATCTTTTCAAAGGTCAAAGGTCTTGTGACGCGTGTCAGTCGGCCTACAGAGTCAAGTTCCCACAAGACGAGAATCTGGTACAAGAACGAGCATTACGTGGACAAAGATTCATATTCCTGGAAGAACATGCCGCTGTTCGACGACCACCAGCGCCATCTTTGGACAACAGAGGGCGCTGTGAGACAGACATTCAAAAAATAAATAATAATATAGAGATCGCTGTGAGACAGACATTAAAAAAATAAATAACAATATAGAGGTCACTGTGAGACAGACATTCAAACCATAAATAACAATAAAGGACGCTGTAAGACATACATAAAAAAACAAAACAATTTGAGTTACCTGACAATGGACACCAATAGATCAAAGACTCTCTCATTACTCAAAGACTCTCTCATTATAACCAATTAAAAAACTTAATAAAGAAATATTTTATGTGTACATAAATTAGTGTAAAATAGTGTACAGGACACCATTCAGTATTAAGTTACTTCAGAGATTCTCAGAGTAAGGAAAAATTGTAACACTTTTAAGCTTTGTAATGTACATTAGCGGAAGTTAGCTAATACATTTTGAGGATCACTGAACAGATTTTTATTTAATTTTTTGAAATAAACAATTCCTTATGAGGATGCACGATTGATTCCATCCGGGGAACAAACATGAAATTGAACTTAACTTATCAGCTATACCAAAAACACACCATCCCACCCCAACCCTACTCTTCCAGCGAAGCTTTGCACATTTGACATTTTCAAGTCAGCCGTAGTCTCGGGATGACAAAATATCCTAAAATTGACGTGGCACCTCACCGTCCACCTGCCCCCCACCTCAGTATGTTGGCCCGTTTGATGCAGACTTTACCACGGCGGAGCACGTTGATGAGCCATTCGAGGCTCAGGCGGCGTGGTTTGCACGCTGTTTCCGGTGAACTACGTTTCCCGAGGTCGTCCTCCGACAGCTGTTGGGCAACTCGGAGATCGGAAGTTCTGGGGGGAAATTCACTGGCACCCGAAAATGTTTTGGTTTGAGCACCGTTTAAGAAACTGGGGTCTGGAGCCTGACCGTAGCTACTCCTTTTATGAGAGGAAATGCGTGACATAATGCTTTCTAGATTATTTCCGATGCCAACTGGGAATGGGTTCAACAAATCTCGCGTTAATTTGTCGACCAGAAAGCCTCTATCAGCTGCCACGAATTGGACGCCGTTTCTGAAGTTCAGGCGTGGTGATGACGCCATCGCTTTGTGCGTACCGTGCACAACGTACGCCGGCTTGACAGACCTATTGAGATCTAAATGAAACTGATGGCTTTGCGGGCTGAGTTCTTCGGGGCTGTGAACGACTCTGGCTGCAGCCGATATCCTGTGGAATGGATACTCTGACAGTTGCTGGCTGAATAAGAAGTAATGGATGTGACGTAATTTACCAAGGCGTGGAATCGGGTGGACAGTGTTGAAAAGGTCACGGACAATGGGAGGCTTGAGGTACTCCTGGTAGACAGTGGCTCCTGTGGAAGGATAAAAACCATGACATTACAACGGGACTCTGTTGAATCGGGGCAAGAGTCCCTCTGGACTAGAGTCACTCTGGGCTACAGTCACTCTGGGCTACAGTCACTCTGGGCTACAGTCACTCTGGGCTATGGTCACTCTGGGCTACAGTCACTCTGGGCTAGGGTCACTCTGGGCTAGGGTCACTCTGGGCTACAGTCACTCTGGACTAGAGTCACTCTGGGCTACAGTCACTCTGGGCTAGGGTCACTCTGGGCTACAGTCACTCTGGACTAGAGTCACTCTGGGCTACAGTCACTCTGGGCTAGGGTCACTCTGGGCTAGGGTCACTCTGGGCTACAGTCCCTCTTAACAAAAATACTGGTGTCGGGGGGGGGGGACCTTAATAAGCAAATAATGATTTTTTTTTAAAGACTACGCCCGGTACGTCACTACAAACGGACAACACACTACACACGGAAAACACACTACACACGGACAACACACTACACACGAACAACACACTACACACAGAAAACATACTACACATTGACAACATACTACATACAGACCCAACCCCAAAAAGGGACTTCACACATATCCCTTCCAACACACAATTACCAGCTCAAATTATTATCTGACCGTAAGATCGCACCAGTCTGTATATTTACACACAAACAGTTCAAAGGGGATCTCGACTATGTGAGTATGAGACTTAAATAAGACATGCATAAGACATATGAGACGCATAAACTACATTTACAAGATATACGAGACTTGACAAGGCATAGGAGACGTATGCAAGGAATTTACAAGACATACTAAACACATATGAGATATATACGAGGCATTTACAAGACATACTAGACACATGTGAGATATATACGAGGCATTTACAAGACATACTAGACACATATGAGATACATACGAGGCATTTACAAGACATACTAGACACATATGAGACATATACGAGGCATTTACAAGACATACTAGACACATATGAGATATATACGAGGCATTTACAAGACATACTAGACACATATGAGATATATATGAGGCATTTACAAGACATACTAGACACATATGAGATATATATGAGGCATTTACAAGACATACTAGACACATATGAGATATATATGAGGCATTTACAAGACATACTAGACACATATGAGATATATACGAGGCATTTACAAGACATGCTAGACACATATGAGATATATACGAGGCATTTACAAGACATACTAGACACATATGAGATATATACGAGGCATTTACAAGACATGCTAGACACATATGAGATATATACGAGGCATTTACAAGACATACTAGACACATATGAGATATATATGAGGCATTTACAAGACATACTAGACACATATGAGATATATACGAGGCATTTACAAGACGTACTAGACACATATGAGATATATACGTGGCATTTACAAGACAGACTAGACACATATGAGATATATATGAGGCATTTACAAGACATACTAGACACACATGAGATATATACGAGGCATTTACAAGACGTACTAGACACATATGAGATATATACGAGGCATTTACAAGACATACTAGACACATATGAGATAAATACGAGGCATTTACAAGACATACTAGACACATATGAGATATATACGAGGCATTTACAAGACATACTAGACACATATGAGATAGATATGAGGCATTTACAAGACGTACTAGACACATATGAGATATATACGAGGCATTTACAAGACATACTAGACACATATGAGATATATATGAGGCATTTACAAGACATACTAGACACATATGAGATATATACGAGGCATTTACAAGACATACTAGACACATGTAATCAGAGGCGTAGCGTGGTGGGGGCAGGGGGGGACAGATGTCCCCGGGCGCCAGCTAGTTAGGGGCGCAAAAATGTGCTTTGATATTATTTTATTGATCAAAATAATGGGTTTGAGAGTTGAAAAAAAAAGAAAAAGGGGCGCTAAAAATGGATCTTGTCCCCGGGCGCGAATCTTGTCCCCGGGCGCCAAACACCCTCGCTACGCCACTGCATGTAATAAGATATATACGAGGCATTCAAAATACATACGAGATACATAAACGACATAGGGGACATTTACAAGACACGCGCTACATACACGAGACATTCAAGACATAGAAGACATGCACAAGAAACACGAGTCAGACACGTGACCTACCTATTTGCTGGGCGATGCATTGTGCTATGGCCAAGATCACAAACAGCATATTGGTATGGTAAACTTGCTGACGTAGATTCATATTCTGAAACAATTTTTTTTTAAAACATTATAAACTAGGTGTTACCGGGGGTTGGGGGGGGGGGTAGGGTTTCTTTTAAACACTGGGTCCGGGTATTTTGAGAAAATACCAGTTGGGTCCAAGTGCTACGCAAAAAGTCAACTTCTCATTTTCTATAATTTATGCCGACCTTTAAACAATAGTCCTACAGACAGTCCTACACCCTCCTTGCCGGCCTTTAAACAATGGTCCTACAGACAGTCCTACACCCTCCCTGCCGGCCTTTAAACAATAGTCCTACAGACAGTCCTACACCCTCGCTGCTGGCCTTTTATCAATAGGCCTACAGACTACGGGCATATAAATCACCTACAAGTACATAAATGAAAACAAAAATACATATAAAGGATTTATTAAAAAAAACAACAACATTATTTCTTCTTCTTCTATATCTTAAGGGCCCACGATCAATTTATTGATCATTTTGGCTCCTATGCATGTAGATGGGATTTGCAATGTTTCTGTTACTGGTGTTGATGAGGGAATCATACACTAGGGGTTTGAAGGCTTGAGGCAATAGACACAAATGTGTCTACTGTTGTCGCCTCAACCGTTCCTTTTGAAAGATTTTAAATGGGTTGTTTAATGTTATCCAAGTTCGGCGATATGCCACGGAGAAATAACCAGTTATGTTATATCAAGAGGAAACGAACACCTCTTTCTGTATTTTTAGAATCGGAAATTCAAAACCCTTTATTATCATATCGAAAACGGAAGGACAGGGAACCGTTTTCATCAAGATGGCGGCTTACCTTAGTATTTCCAGTCCCCCCCCCCCCACTTTCCCGGGGAGCCTCGTCCTTATGACCAGACGATAGAGAAGCTTGGATTACAGTTTTCGTTCTTCTTGGACTAGGACTTGTGTGCAGCCTTGGTGGGATTACCACGCATGAAGGAATGAACGCATTGTACACGAAACACACAATCTTTGCTGATTATCTTAAAGTCGATTAGATTAGTGAGACCACGGCAGATTAGTGAGATCTCGGCAGATTAGTGAGATCTCGACGGATTAGTGAGGCCTCGACAGATTAGCGAAGCCTCGGCAGATTAGTGAGATCACGGCAGATTAGTGAGACTCAGGCTGATTAGTGAAGCCACGACAGACGAGTGAGACCACAGCACGGATTTTCAAGAGCTTATCGCACTGCAACGCTTTTCAAAAAGGGATGCAACGGCCTATTCTGACAATGGCACGCCCTCTCTCAACAGTTGAACGGTTGGTGTTCCGTGTCGGTCTGGTGCAGGCGATAGGACTTGTTCCGTGTCGGTCTGGTGCAGGCGATAGGACTTGTTCCGTGTCGGTCTGGTGCAGGCGATATGACTTGTTCCATGTCGGTCTGGTGCAGGCGATAGGACTTGTTCCATGTCGGTCTGGTGCAGGCGATAGGACTTGTTCCATGTCGGTCTGGTGCAGGCGATAGGACTTGTTCCATTTCGGTCTGGTGCAGGCGATAGGACTTGTTCCATGTCGGTCTGGTGCAGGCGATAGGACTTGTTCCATGTCGGTCTGGTGCAGGCGATAGGACTTGTTCCATTTAGAGAAAGCAGCGATGTCACCTGGTCAAACCTTTTCCATGTCGGTCTGGTGCAGGCGATAGGACTTGTTCCATTTAGAGAAAGCAGCGATGTCACCTGGTCAAACCTTTTCCATGTCGGTCTGGTGCAGGCGATAGGACTTGTTCCATTTAGAGAAAGCAGCGATGTCGCCTGGTGAAAACTTAAGACATCAGAATGGCGCACCAGATCGAAGACGTGGGCGCAATTTGAGCACTCTAAGATGTCAAGAGAGATGGAGACATTTACATTTTTCTTAATTTTTCTCAAGTAGTTTCCATACGCCCATGTTACTGTCTATTTATTGCTTTTTAAAAAAAAAAATATATATTTTTTCAATATCCACATCTGCTGTCGCCAAATCACAAAAGTTATGATTGTGCCAGGTCTTGGGAAAGGGGGGGGGGGCGCTCTCAAGTCCCGGGACATGAAGGTCTTTAGCTTGTTAGCGTGGGCGGGACTATTTTGTCACATCGTGCGCGTGGGCGGCTTAATTTCCGAACGCGTTTCCGCAGTGGAGAGCTCGTGAGAGGGCCAGATCACGTGACAACGAGTGGACCGAAATGAAACAGTCACACCGGCCAGTTGGAAAACCAAACAGGATCAACTTTAGTATGTTTCAACAAATACTTAGCTCAGTTTTCATCTCAGTTGAGAAAAATCACTAGGCCACTGGCGAACGTTCGTTCATGTGATAATTATTGTCTCAAACAGGTTCTTGACTTGACGATAAGTCTATAGCCTTCTACCTGCTACACCTACTTCACTAACTTCTACACCACTAGCCTCTACACCACTATTGTCATACAGAGAGAGAGAGAGAGAGAGAGAGATAGGGGGGGGAGGGAAACATAGGAGGAGAGGGAAACATAGGAAAAGCGGAATGGAAGGGTGAAGAGAGAAAGAGAGGGGGCTAGAGAGGGATAGGTAGGGAAGGATGAAGAAAGAGAGGGGAGGGAAAGATGTAGGGAAGGGTGAAGAGAGAAATAGAGAGAAGGATTGAGAGAGGAAGAGGTAAGGAAGGGTGAAGAGAGACAGAGAGAGGGGAAGGAAAGATGTAGGGAAGAATGAAGAGAGAAATAGAGAGAGGGATTGCGAGAGAAAGGAGAGGGAGAGGTAGAGAAGGGTGAAGAGAGAAAGAGAGACGGGAAGGAAAGATGTAGGGACGGATGAAGAGAGAAATAGAGAGATGGATTGAGAGAGAAATAGAGAGATGGATTGCGAGAGAAAGAGAGAGGGTTAGAGAGAGGGTTATAAAGAGAAAAAGAGAGGGTTGGAGAGGATTATAGAGAGAAAGAGAGAGCATTGGAGAGATAGGGTTATAAAGAGAAATTGGGGGTGGGGGGAGAGCGTACTAGAGAGAGAGAGAGAGGGGGGCATGGAGTTAAGCAATACAATACAAAACAAGGACTGGACTGTGGGATAGCATTACCATTGTCTGCCTAATGAACTCTTGGGCCGTAAACAACAACACTTCCATTCGTGCCGGGTAAACCTTGGGGTGAGAATCATCACTACCACGTCCCAGGCGTTCACACTGCGCTTCAACCAAACTCAGAAGATGGGCGACGGAACATAAGCTAACGAGGGTGATACATCTCATCTGTCAGTGCTACATCGCATCTGTCAGTGCTACATCTACTATGTCAGTGCTACATCTCATATGTCAGTGCTACATCTACTATGTCAGTGCTACATCTCATCTGTCATTGCTACATCTCATATTTCAGTGCTACATCTCATCTGTCAGTGCCACATCTCTTATGGGAATGCTACATCTCATATGTCAGTGCTACATGTCATATGTCAGTGCTACATGTCATGTATCGGTGGTGCATCTGATCTGTCTGTGCTTCATCTCATATGTCAGTGCCACATTTAAAACGTGCACCCTGACATCTCCATAGCCAACCCAGAAAGTTTTAAACGGTGCACCCTGGGCGCTGATTTCATGATCACATTTTCTTAATTTTTTAAAATTGACATTCCATTTCTGATGCTGGTTATCCATCAGGGAGTAAAGTCATAATGATTGGAAACCCATTTTTTTTTGGTGTAAAGCCATCTTTGGGGAAAAATCACTTTAGGTATATACCATCTTTGGTGCAAAACCATCTTTGGTGTAACACAATCGTTGGTGTAAACATCTTGGGTGTAAAGTCATGGGTGTATAGCTACCCTGGCCACAATCCCTGGTATGGTATAAACTTCGGTGTCGGTGTAAACAAAGCATTCGTAATGTAACCCACATTGGATGTCCCTGGTGTCTCATGCACTGAAGTACTGTAATCCTGCTACACAGTGGTTCTCAATATGAGCGTTGGGGTTGCTCAGGGGGCATCGAAAGGCTCGGGGAGATTTTAGGGGCCGCTGAGACTCTTAAAGGAGGGAGTAAGGGGGGGATTATATTGATCATACATATTAAAAGTATAAACTTCAAATGAGGTCTGGGAGCTTTATTTGGTATTCATTGTCAGTAACAAAGATGGCTTTCATTGTTAGAAACAAAGATGGCTTTCATTGTCAGTAAAAAAGTTGGCTTTCATTGTCAGTAACAAAGATGTTCTTCATTGTCAGTAACAAAGATGTTCTTCATTGTCAGTAACAAAGATGGCTTTCATTGTCAGTAACAAAGATAGTCTTCATTGTCAGTAACAAAGATGGTCTTCATTGTCAGTAACAAAGATGGCTTTCATTGTCAGTAACAAAGATCGTCTTCATTGTCAGTAACAAAGATGGCTTTCATTGTCAGTAACAAAGATGGTCTTCATTGTCAGTACCAAAGAGACGATGATAAAAAAGAAATCCTCCAGACAAGGAAGAGAATAAGGACGTGTGATTTATTTACAAACAGAAATACAAGCGGCGATGAGCAATACATTGGCTAGACGCTGTTTGGTGGCAACACGACTGCTGTGACACGACAACACGACTGCTGTGACATGACAACACGACTGCTGTGACACGACAACACGACTGCTGTGACACGACAACACGACTGCTGTGACATGACAACACGACTGCTGTGACATGACAACACGACTGCTGTGACACGACAACACGACTGCTGTGACACGACAACACGACTGCTGTGACACGACAACACGACTGCTGTGACATGACAACACGACTGCTGTGTCATGACAACACGACTGCTGTGACATGACAACACGACTGCTGTGTCATGACAACACGACTGCTGTGACATGACAACACTTCACAACTGAGCCATTAACTTCTAAGCTTGTATTGCAATGATTTCAATTCACAAACTAAACAAACCCAAACATACAAACTTTTGGAGAAATCCTTGATAAAACGTATTATCGAGCAGTGGGGGGTGGGGGTGGGTGTGAGGCTCCCCGCCCCCTCCTACAAAGCCTTCTACCGCACTTTTTTTTCCCCACGCCCCTGAACTATATTTAGATTCTAATGGCCCACCCGCGTTTACACAGCAGATTTATTTCACTTACTATTTCAAAAAAAAATTATTACGCACCAAACGCACGTGCGATATATTAATTTTTTTTTAAAAATGAATCTGGTTAAGCGCAGTTCTGGAGAATGTTATTTTGTGAACTCAGTGTCACCATGTTGCTGTCATCTTTCCTTGGGAAAAACGGGGAAAACTGTGTTGTCATCGGCAGCGAGCCTGTGTGCCACGTTTCAGCTCGATAGGCTGACGGGAAGTGGGTCAGTTAGCCGTCGGAAGATTCACGCAAGCCAGCGCACGAACAAAAGAGAAGTTGATATAAAGGATTTTAACAGCAGACGACAGCCGTGGGCAGCGCGCCAACAATGACCGGCTTTACCCGTTCCCTGCTGCTCATTCAAGGAAAAAAAAAAAAATAATGCAAAATGTCTTTATTATTTTTTGTTGTGTCATCGACTACGTCTGGTGGCAGTAAAAAAAAAAAATAATTAAAAAGTCAGTGACATTCTTCCATGCCGTCATTGAAATTTGAGCACACGTTGACAATGAGTGGCAATTCCTGGCGCTTTGTGTTGAGTATGATGACGTATTTCCCGGTCTATGCTGACGTTCGTTAAGACCACTGCTTCTGTTGTGGGATGACCCCCTCCTCCCCTCCCCCCCCCCATCCCAGCGTCACCACTGGCGACATTGCTCATCAGAAATATTTGCTAATTCTATAACAATGAATATGGCTTTACATGCGAGGGAGACCTGTCCTTTAAATGCCGAATCTGCCAGATCGAATTTGGATTTCAGAATTGTTATAATTGAATTTTCCTGAAATAGCTTAAGTTTCTATGGGGAAAAAATTCAAATCGTTGCCACCAAAGAACCAAAGTAGGCCTCCTCCTCCTCCTCCTCATCATCATCATCCTCATGTCCCTTAGTCCTTGAACAGAAGGGGCGCAACAGGTGACATGTGAACCATCCTCCTCCACTCCTCTCTGTCTTCAGCACTACGCACTGCATCGCCCAGTGTTAGTCCTGTCCACTCTTTGATGTTATCCTCCCACATTTTTCTTAGTCTTCCTCTTCTTCTCCCTCCTCTTGCGGTGGCCTGCAATATTTCTTGGGCAAGCCCTTGTTTCCTTGTTACGTGGCCGTACCATTGTAGTTTGCGTTTTTTTCACAATCACCAGTAGGTCATCGTACTCCCCAATGGCCTGACGAACCCTTTCTTTCACTGTATCATTGGAGCTATGGTCCCTCCTATAGCAGATGCCAAAAAAGTAGGCCTACACAAACAAACACAAAAACAACCCCAAAAAGTAGGCCTACACAAACAAACACAAAAACAACCCCAAAAAGTAGGCCTACACAAACAAACACAAAAACAACCCCAAAAAGTAGGCCTACACAAACAAACACAAAAACAACCCCAAAAAGTAGGCCTACACAAACAAACACAAAAACAACCCCAAAAAGTAGGCCTACACAAACAAACAAACACAAAAACAACCCCAAAAAGTAGGCCTACACAAACAAACACAAAAACAACCCCAAAAATCCACTTTTTTTTTTTTTGGTCGGTACTTTCAAGACCAAGTGTAAACACAATATCCAGGTGCTGGGGTTATAGATAAATCTATGTTGAGCGTATCTACATAGTTTTCCTAGGTAAGCTGGTCAACATATTTTATCAACATAAACTGTCTTTAAAGTAGGCCAAAACTGTCAACATAGTTTGTTTATAACTCCGGAAACAAATTGTGCTTAATTGGAAAACAAAGAAAATGTATCAACTTATTTTATACAATTTGTGGACCCCCGCACGCGCACACACACACACACACACACAACAACAACAACACCCTCCCAACCAAGGAAAAAAAAACAAAAAAACACAAACAATAATCCAAAATTTAAAATTTTTTTTTAGCTAGAAACAACTTTTACTATAAAAATTAGCTACAAAAATCGAAAACAGCAGACTGACTGTCGCACAAACTGTAAAAGCATCTACTTACTGTCCAAACCACCACACGCAAATCCACTTGTTATCTCTGATTAAAACTGTCCATGGTGTCCACACCGCTGGTCATTATTTTACCCAACTCCCAGATCAAAGAGTTCACTTATAAAGCTCGACATCGAGGCCCGCGCGTGCGGCGTGCTAAATGAGGCTCCGAACATTAAAGCAACTTTCTGCCGGTGTGGTAATCGATTTTGCAGGTCTTATTATGTCTCATTTAAAACTATTTTCTTCATTTTAACTCTTTTAAACTCGTCTTTAAAAGAAATTTCTTCTTTTTAAAAAAAGTTTTTTTTTTGTGAATCCTTTTTTTTTTTAAAATTAGAAAACTGTCTTGAAGACGAGGTTAATTGTTCTTTTTCTTTTTTAAATGAAGGATGAAAATAAAAAAAATAATAATAAGATTAAGATAAGACACGATTCTTTTTTAGAGATCCAAACAATTGGAAATGTTGTTTGATTGCATTGTAAATTTTAAGCACATAAATAAAACAATGTGAACACAAGACATCTACATTAAATTATTTCTTTAGTGAAAAAAAACGCCATTCAGTGAATTCTCTTAGCTATATCAGGGACTTATTTGTTCTCATTAAGATTTGTAACTTCAGGGAGAGCACGTTGGTAAATTTTTATAGATTGGGAAAAATGAATTTGTATATCTTCAGTCATCGCCTTGCGAGAAAGAATTCGTCCCGAACGGGCCGACCCTAAGTATCTGTGATGAAGAGGGTGGGGTGTATCATCCAAAATGTGTTTAGTTTTACAATAACATCTTTCTTCAAATAGTTCTTCCAGTGACGGATGTTTAGTTTGTGTTATGTTCATAGATTTCTTGATTAGTCTGTTTATTCGGTGTTTAATATCAGACGACAAATTGCCACACCAGCAGGTAATACTGAAATTAATTAGGCTTCCAATAGTTGCACTGTAGAGTAAGTTAACGACTTGTATGTTTACGCCGAAATTGTACAGTTGTTTGAGGTAGAACAGTCTTAGGTTGAATTTCTTATACAGCTTTTGGCCGTGCTCATGCCATGTTAGCTTATTATTAATGGTTACACCTAAGTACTTGTATGCCTCCACTTTCTCTACACTTTGATTTTTTTATGTTGAGATCTGTAATCTGGTGTTTCCCCCTCCTGAAATCAACAACCATTTCCTTTGTCTTTGAGACATTCAGCTGGAGAAAATTTTCATCGCACTAATTGATAAAGCTTGTATCTAAGTTGCGGTATAGGCCTTCTCCTTCAGATATTAAGCCAACAATGGTGGTATCATCAGCAAATTTTAACTTTGGAACGGTGTCGCTTGAGCTTTGAAGATCATTGGAATATATTGTATACAGTACAGGAGAGAGAACGCAGCCTTGTGGTGCCCCGGTGCTTATTTCTCTGGTTAGAGATACTTGGTTATTTACTTTGACATATTGTGGTCGATCTGTTAAAAAGTTCAGTATCCAAGCCTGAATATTTAATTTCACACCTAACGAGGAAAGTTTCTTTATCATAAGGTATGGTTGAATAGTGTTAAATGCTGATGGGAAGTCTAAGAAAATCACTATGGTATATGTTTTAGGACTGTCTAGGTGATGGTTAAGTCTCTCCAACAATAGTAAGATTGCATCCTCCGTACTTCTGGGAGGTTTGTAAGCAAATTGGTGGGGGTCAAGTTTTTGCTGTACTTCATTCAAAATTTCTTTCAGAATTAGTCTCCTTCAATATTTTTTTTTAGTTTTAATGATTTAAAGCTAAAAAAATATTTTAAAAATTATTTTTTTTTGTGAGGTTCTAAACTGCCAAAGATTTTGGAATCACTGGTTTATTAACTTCTGTAAAGAACAACATGAACTTCTAAACATAGCTGATCAGATCATTCGGTAATCAATAGTTAATACCCGATAGCATTCCAATTAAACACCACGTGACCCAGATGAGCCATTCGTGTGATTCATAATCTTTAGGATTAACGCCGGCCCTTGACCCCGGAACCAAACGTTTGCGGATGGAACTGAGCAGACTGACGTTCACATTGATCACATTAAAGAGAAGAAAAAAAGTTGGGGGGGGGGGGAAGAGAGAAAGAAAAAGAGAGAGAGAGAGAGAGAGAGAGAGAGAAAGAGAGAGAGAGAAAGGGAGAGAGAAAGAGAGAGAAAGAGAGAGAGAAAGAGAGAGAAAGAGAGAGAAAGAGAGNGGGTAAAACACGCTTTGGAAGCTTTGCTTTGCTATTCTCTCACATGGACATGACGACCCCTAAATAGAATTATATTAACAGCCACTTTAAAGGGTGGGGGGGAAGCTTTTTGGAAAACAAAAAACAAAGAAGTCATTTAGGGGTAGTCCACAAAGTACGTCACGCGCGGGAGGCGGGATCTAAGAAATTGTGACAGTTAGTGACACGGGTGGGGGGGGGGGTCATTACGGGACGTCACGCATTGATATATTTCCTTAATCATACCGGTACATATAAAATCTGAAATTGACAGTGTGTTGAAAATTCTGTTGTGCCAGATGTTTTCTGAAAGAAGGTGTCATTTAGTAGGGTCTCATTTTAATAATGAAATGTCTTTTAGAATGAAATTTCATTATCATCATCATCATCATGTCCCTTAGTCCTTGGACCGTTGGGGCGCCACAGATGACATGAAAACTATCCTTTTCCATTCCCCTCTGTTTTCTGCATTCCGCACAGCATCGCCTAGTTCTTTTCCCGTCCACTCTTTGATGTTATCTTCCTACCTTGTTCTCTGTCTTCCTCTTCTTCTCCCTCCTCCTCTCGTTGCGCCCTGCATGATTTCTTTGGTGAGCCCTTGAATGGCCATCCATTCCAGTTTGCGCCTTTTTTTCTTTTTTTGTTTCAGTCCCCAGGAGATTGAAATTTAGTTCGTTGCTAATTTTTTAAATATTTCTTTTTTAAATTGTGTCTTACTTGGGGGTGGGGGAGGAGTGGGGGTCCGAGATCCATGACATATTGTGACCCCGGAGGGGTGGACATTGTTAAAAATAACAAGAACCACTATTTGGAATGCCCCTTTAAAAATGGAGGGCTCAAAGAAAATAACACGAGCCTCGAGAGAATTGTGGGTATTGGGATAAAACATTAAGGAAGACATACACACAGAAATACGTGACTCTATGGTGACTCTATGGTGACTCTATGGTGGCTCTATGGTGACTCTATGGTGACTCTATGGTGACTCTACGGTGACTCTATGGCGACTCTATGGCGACCTTTTTTTTTCTTTCAAAATGAAAGGCAGGACATTTAAAAAATCGTTTTGATGCCATGGGTGTCTAAAAATAACATTATTTCTGTTTACACGGAGAACTCTTCTGTCCGTGAGGCGCTCTTTTGAAAATATAGCCGATTTGGATGTAATAACATTTCAAAAACGTGTATTGATTGATTGATGTTTTTGTAAAGTGTAGTCTTATGTCGCACTAGTTGCTACTAACGACTAGCCAGAACCATTGTCCAAAAAACTAGAATTGTGGGGACCTAAGGCCAGTGGCATCACTGGCGGGTGCGGTAGTGCGGACCGCACCGGGTGACAGCCGCACAGTGGGTGACACCCACCCAGGGTTGCCAACTCAATGAAAGAAAATTCACCGAGAAATATTCTAACTAAATCTCCACAATTTTTACAGACAAGGCGGACACATTTTTAGAGTTATGTTGTTGAGACTAGGAAGCTTTAAAAAATAGATATGTATGTATGTAATATATATATATATATATATCAGTAAGTCTATAATATGATTCTATGACTCTGTGTACTTTCAAACATCAAATACACTTATGTTTCTATGGCTCTGTCATTTGATCATGAGACATGCGCCAGTTTTTGCTCAATCCTTTATATATTTACTTCGCTCTTGTTCGTGGATGGCTGGGTGGGTGGCTGGTAAAATCTTCGGACGACTCATTGACCAACTTCCCGTCAACCTACCGAGCTTAAAATTGGCACAAAGACTCATTACCGGTGACAACACATTCTTTCAAATTTTCAGTCCCACCCCAACCCCCCTCCCCCCATAATACGTTTTTTCCTGTTTTCCATGGTAGTGGAGTGTTCATGATTTGTTCAATGGTTGCATGTGTGTGTGTGTGTGTGTGCAGATTACTTGTGGAGCTGTTGCTATGTGCTTCGTATTTGTGACGTATTTGAGTTTAAATAGGTCAAGCAGTCATACAAAAAACTTAGTTTTTAGCGGTTGGTGAATTCAAAACACTCTTACCACAATTAAAAAAAAAAAATATTATTCCTTTTTTTTTTTTAGTGTTTGGTTTAGGATTTAATTTAGAATCAAAGCTATAAGCTATATGCTGTAAGCTATAAGCTATAAGCTATACGCTATAAGCTATAAGCTATAAGCTATATGCTGTAAGCTATATGCTATAAGCTATATGCTGTAAGCTATACGCTATAAGCTATATACTGTAAGCTATAGGGTATATGCTATATGTTATATGCTATAAGCTTTAGGCTATATGCTATAACAGCATGTGGCTCTTTAGCGACCTGAGTGTGGCTCGGCCAGTCGGCAATAAATCGGTTTAGACTCCGAAAGACATGGTTCTTGAAATGAAATTTGGCTCTCATTTTTTTGTTTTTATCGCCCTGCTCTCATTTTTGGCTCCTTTGACTAATGAGCTTGCCGACCACTGAACTAGCCTAAGATCACAAACAACATATTAAGTGTCTTAGCCTTAAGGAGGAGGGTTGGGGAGGGGGATAGATTCATACTCTGAAAAAGTAAAACCATCTTCAGAAAATTTCGCCTAAGTGCGGCAATCAACCAAATGAATATTATTTATAGCACTTTAGCTAAGTAACGCATCCACCATATGGCTGTGCTTCAAATGACAACAGTAAATTGGTTAGTTAGTATGCCTAATTTATCTAATAAGGCTTGTCATTTAATGGCGGAAATCTATTAATAGAACATCCGGGCATCCAGTCTGGCCATTCTCATTCAAGATATTAATGAAACATACTGGTGTTCAGTTTGGCCAATCCCTCTACAGCTGTTCGGTAGTTCTACGTTAGTGAGAGAGAG